TCAGCTATTTGTAAACCTTAATCATATACCGCCAGTTAGCTTGAATAATTTTACTTCACCATGGCCGTTTTCCATTTGGGGCATAGACATATTGGGCAAATACATCCGAAAGCTTCGAACGGGCATCAATATATATTGGTTGTTGTTGATTATTTTTCGAAATGGGTGGAGGCATCATCATATTCAAAACTAGGGGCAAAACAAGTTTCAAAATTTGTAATCAATAATATTATATGTCGGTATGGGGTATCTTTTGAAATTATCTCTGACAATGGTTCACAATTTGAAGGCCATCTTAAAGAAACCCTTGAGAAGTACAAAACCAGGCATCACCAATCTTCGCCATATCGTCCTCAAACCAATGGAGCTGTTGAAGCAGCTAACAAAACTATCAAGACAATATTCGCCAAGATGACAGATAGGGCTCGAAAATGGCCTGATAAGCTTCCCTATGCACTTTGGGGATATAGGATTTCCATTCGAACACCAACTGGGACTACTCCATATTCTTTGGTATATGGAATGTATCCGCTTCTTCCAATCAAAACAAAGATTCAATCGCTTCGTGTAATGAATGAAAGCGAAATGTCTGAAGAACAATGGTTTAAAGAACGATAAGATGAGCTTTCTTTAGAAAGTGAACGAAGGTTGCAAGCCCTTTACAACATCCAAATTTATAAAAGACGCATTGCTCGGGCTTTTAATAAAAGGGTCAGGGAAAGGAATATACAAGAAGGAGATTTGGTACTCAAGGAAAATCGAGCACCGATTCATGATCTGCGTGGAAAGTTCAAGCCAAACTGGTCTGGTCCCTTCCTGGTCAAACATCTTACACCAGCGGGAGCAATAAAATTGATGGATCTTGATGGAAATGAATTTGTTCATTTCACCAACCTTGATCAGTTAAAAAAGTATTATGCTTGATTAGTACGGTGTTGTATTTGTGGGATCCGCAAAAAAAGAAAAAGAAAAAAAAGAAACGTGAATCTCCTACTAGCTCTAGATAGTTATGTGTATCATGTTAAAGTTTAGATTTCATTCATGTTTGCATTGCATGCTTAAGGGTCATGTAGACATATTAATTATTATTAAAAGATCATGATTAAGTCAATACTTAACAAAATATGATTACAACAAAAAAACTTTTTTTTTATTATTATCTAATCATAACACAAACTCTCGCTTTTTGGTGAGATTACATCCACTTTTAACCATGGAAACAATTACCACATACACCATACCCGGGAGACCAATGCCTTTGGATACGATTTCTTCTTTTAGAATTGAAAAATACATAAACAAGGGAAAGACAAGTACAATTATTGAATTACAATAAGGATATTCTTCTAAGGATTGATTCAAGCATCACCCTCAAGGTCTTCCAACAACCATGTTGTGTAGGATGCGGTTGGAACATTATTCTCAAGAATTGAAAACGCAGGGAGCATTCGTGCAAATTTCCATACACGAGATGATGCCCTAAGAGCTTCCACATTACCAATTTCATAGGTGGTATAAGGTACCACTGGAAGCTCATGGAGCCCTAGGAGTCGTTGGAGTTGGCCCGCTTCAAGGAAGATAGAAGGTGACGCGACATAATCCTGGAAGTTGAACACCTCTGCGCTTGCTAGTGCTAATTTTTATGGAATTTATGTTGAGAAATGAAATGATCCATTCCACACCAGCTGTGGCAAAGAGGTTTGTCCATCCACCATGGTTCCAACATTGACGGGATATAGGGAAAAAACCTTTCTCCCGAATATGTCGGGTTTGGTAAGGAGTTCGAAAAGGTGGTCTAGACAGCTTGAATTTCTCACATAACCAAAGTTGAAGCACAATTGGACACCCTTTAACAAAACCACTTGGATTTTGTTTCAGATGGCCAAGCCCCATCATAAGTTCCCCTAAGATAAGAGGCCCTAAACGGTTTCCTGACTTAATCTTTGACAACAAAGAAAGGCAACGAACATGACAGGATAATAATGATTCCTTGAGTAAAACAAGGCCGAGCAATAAAAGGATGCAAGCTCTTTCTTGGCACTTTTGGAAATCCTCATTGTTGGCAAATTCCCAATGAGATAAAGAGAAGGTTTCAAGGAAGTTCTCTAACATTAAAATGTCAAGCAGGCGATAATTGCTTTCCATATTTAATGGTATACCTAGAAAATTCCTCATGACCGCATTAGTTGCCCTTGGGTCATCAGGTGTAATCACACGACCTTGTTTATGAAGACCTAGTAAACCCTCCACTTCTTCCAGAAGATGAGTCATTTCCGTCTCTCCAAAGCAAAAAACATGGCGTTCTTCATCCCAAAATTCAACAACAGCATGAATCATATCATACCGAGGTTGGATAATTAGGAGAGGGGTGATAGTTCTGGTGAAGACACTTGTATAAGGGTAAAGGCAAGGTGGAAAAATATTTTCTACTACCCCTTTTAGTTGAAGCTTTCTAGCTCCACTGATTTCATTGAATTCTTGAAACATGGCATTTATTTTTTCTTAGAAATTTGAGGAGAGAAGAAATAAGACTTAAGAAGCTTAAAAGAAGGAGGGAATCGACTTAGTGTAGAAAGAATGAATGTCACCTCCCTTTTTATAGGGGTGGTGATTATAATGGAGCCAGGAAGAAAAGGCCGAAGGAGTTTGCTTTTCCGAAAACTCAGTACAAACCACCTGTTGTTTTTGCATCCGAAATCCATAGACTATGTTATTTCAAAAATTATTGTTATTTTCCCTCAAGCTTGTGCAAATTAGAGTTTTGATTTTCTACAAGGTTAAGCCAGTTTTTCAACTGCACCCAAGCCAACATTTCTGTTGCAATTGAGTAAGAATTCCACTCTATTTTCAGCCAGTTTTTAAACTGCACCTAAGCCAACATTTGTGTTGCAATTGAGTGAGAATTCCACTCTATTTTTCAGCCAGTTTTTCAACTGCACCTAAGCCAACATTTGTGTTGCGATTGAGTGAGAATTTCACTCTATTTTTCAGCTAGTTTTTCAATTGCACTCAAGCTAATGTTTAAATGAAAATCAATTGGGATTTTCCTCCTTTTTTTTTCCAGAAACATACATCAAAATTTTGTGTCATTTCTCAAACATTGATTATCATTTTATTTAAATTCAATTAATGTGGGGTAATCTGTAGACAACAAATTTTGATCCTACTTTTTTTAATTATCACTAATAATTATCTTTTATTATAGTTATCGTTTTTCTTGCAAATAATTATTATTATTTTGCTAAATATTTTTATAAATTTAATAACGTTTGTTTTATTATTTAAAATGAAGGAAACGAGTAGTAATAATGATTTTTATTTATAGTTTCCAAAATACATGTTACAATTTGCACTTCTAAACTACTGAATTACAAAATATTGAAGTACAACTAACACTACATGTATTTTTATCCTGTTCCACCGAAGTAATTTTCGGGCTTTACCTATGGATTAACAAGTAATTTAATAAAAAGACAAGATTAGGAAAGTCCCTCAAGTAGGGTTGGGGTGCCTCTGCTAGGGTTTGCGAAAAACTGTCTTCTCCGAGTAATTTTTTCCCAAATCCTTGCCATTTTCTTTTCAATAATTGCTCTCTAATTTATCTTCTACTGGTTCGTGATCTTTTTTTCTCAATTATGGCTGATGAGTTGGTTAAAGACTGGGGTAAACTTCGCTTAACTGCTGAGGAGGACAAAGTTTATGGTGGTGATTGTGAGGAGCCTGATGATGTGACATCGAAGTCGAGGATTGATCTTTCTCTGGTTGGCAAATTGTTGACCAAGAAACCGTTTAATGTGTAAGCGATGAAAAGGGTCCTTGTTAATCTCTAGCGCCTTAATGATAATGTAGCCATTCGCATGATCGAGACGAATTTATTCATCATCCAATTCTTTGAGGAATCTGATAAGAGAAGGGTGCTCGAAGGGAGGCCATGGGATTTCGACAACCAGATTTTTCTACTCCAAGAACTGAATGGTGATGACCAACCTTTCGAGGTATCTTTTCAATTCTCTCCTTTTTGGGTCAGAGCCCTAGACGTTCCTTTTAGTCGGCATAATCCGCGGTTTGCTAAGGAGATTGTTGATAGTTTTGGGGGGCTTGTTGAATTTGATGATACCGACCCTCTTGGGTGGGAGAAGTATATGTGTGTCAATGTCATGATCGATGTGGAGAAGCCTCTAAGGAGAGGTATGAAAGTTATTGTAGGGGGTAAATGACTAAGTGGATTGAATTTAAGTATGAATGCTTGGGGGATTTTTGCTACTATTGTGGTAGACTAAGACACTCTGACAAGGAGTGTCTCTATTTTGAAGAGAATGAGGAGGACTCTAGATTGGTTTTCCAGTATGGTCCTTTCCTAGCAGCCTCGCCTGTCCAGCGCTCTCGTATTAATGTTGCGGACCGCGAAAAAGAGCGACAGTGGGTTGACAATTTGTCTCGTGGTAAGATAGCTCGCAAACTCCTATACAATGATCTACAAGCTATTCATTTAGGACCCCCTAGTGCAGCCCGTAAACTTCTCTTTAACTCCCCGAATAAGATGAACATCGAGTCCCCAAAGGCAAGAGAAGCCTCACTTATGATTGTGACTGATCCGAATAGTAAGAAGTCTGTGTTGCGGCCCGTCCAACTTCAACAACCGTCTAGCTCTCAGGGCGTGGGCGGTGATGATATTGATGGCTCAAGCTCTATGACACTACCTGTGCGTGTGGAAAATGCTAAGGTGCCTTGTACTATGTCCTATGCAGAAACTCAAGGTGGAGGCTCTTGGAAGAGGTCAGAAAGATTTGTGTTAAATAATAATGATGACACTAATATGTCTGTGTTAGTGATGTAGTAGTGGGGGGAAAAAGAAAATGTGATGTCACTTTGGGTGATAGTGATACTAGTAAGGGTAGTACGGGTGGGATTAAAAAAACAAAAATACGTGTGTCTAATGTTGTCTGTAATGAAAATTTCAAAGTAAAGGGTCTTGGCTCTGACCAAGCACTCGAAAAGCAATGAAAATACTAAGTTGGAACATCTTCGGGCTTGGCAACCCGAGGTCAGTTAGAGCCCTCCAAGATCTTTGTTGGAGGGAAAGGCCAGAATTGGTGTTTGTAATGGAAACTAAAGTTGATGCTAGTATTTTAAATAAAATTCGAAATCGTTGTGGTTATTCGAATGGTCTTTGCTTGAGTAGTAATGGTAGTTCGGGTGGTGTGGGGTTTTGGTGGAAAGATGTGAATGTTGATATTGTGTCGTACTCTTTACATCATTTTCATGCAAATGTGCTCGATGTTAATAATACTCCTATATCGCGGGCCGTTGGATTATATGGTTGGCCGGAACAAGCTAATAAACATCAAACATGGTCTCTCATGTCTAAAATAAAATTGGCTTCTAATCTCCCTTGCATTATGTTCGGTGACTTCAATGAGATTTTGAATTTATCGGAGAAGGAAGGTGGTGTGGTAAGAAGTGAGAGATTGAAGGATTCTTTCCGCGAAGCTATTGATAGATGTGCTCTTCGTGATTTGGGGTTTAAAGGCAGTATCTTTACATGGGAGAGGGGCAACTCCATGTCTACCTTTGTCCGAGAACGACTTGATAGGTTCCTTGCCGATGAGAGTTGGTGTTCTATGTTCTCGAACCATGAGGTTAGGAATCTTCCAATCCTTAAATTGGATCATGCTCCGATTTTATTGACTACCGAAAAGAAAAATTCTGATGAGGGGGGTGACACGGGGTTCAAGTTTGAGCAGCTTTGGCTCTAAAGAGGAATGTGGAGAGGTTGTCCTTGACACATGGTAAGGGGTAAAGGGTTTGAATATGCAGCAAAAATTGGCTTTATGTGGGGAGAAATTGAAGAGTTGGGCAGCTTTTACTTTTGGGAATATCAAGAAGAAAATTAAAAAAGCTGTGAAGGCGCTTAAGGAGTTGAAAGATGGTGCTATGGATGGTGAAAAACTACAGAGATGCCGAGAGCTAGCTGATGAATTAGACGCCCTGTATATGCTGGAGGAATCATATTGGTTTGCCCGAGCTTGTGCCAATGAGCTTCGTGATGGGGATAAATATACAAAGTATTTCCACCACAAAGCTAGTCAACGTAAAACAAAAAATCGAATCAAAGTGCTGCTTGATGATAGTGGGGAATGGAAGTCAAACAGAGTGGAATTGGAAAGACTTATTTCTGCCTACTTCTCAAACTTGTTTGCAACTAGTTCGCCAACCGGCATCCAGGGGGCGATGGAGGGTCTTGAATTGAAGGTTACAGCAGAAATGAACTTGGTACTAGACCATGTGCCCACAGGTGATGAGGTAAAAAATGCTTTGTTCCAGATGCACCCTAACAAAGCTCCGGGACCCGATGGTATGCACGCTTTATTTTTTCAAAAATTCTGGCATGTTGTCGGTCCTGATATTATTGCTCATGTTCAGAATTGGTGGAGAGGGGAAATTGATATTGCGGGAATAAATAACACTTGCATCGTTCTTATTCCGAAATGTAATGATCCAAAAATGATTTCGGAATTTAGACCCATTTGCTGTTGCAATGTTATTTATAAAATTGTGTCAAAAGTACTTGCGAACAAATTAAAATTTTTTTTGGGGGATATTATATCTCCGAATCAAAGTGCTTTTGTCTCGCAGAGGTTGATAACTGATAATGCCATTGTAGTTTTTGAAGTTTAGAGGTTGTGATATGTCTATTTTAAATAGTGTTTTACCCCCGTCCCGTGGTCATTATTAGTAGTGTTTTTGGCTCTTTCGGGCCACTTTTATTACTAATTTGTGTGTTCTAGTGTTTTCGTAGTTGGACCCACATTGTGGTCAAATACCTTAGTTGGACCCCTAGCGATAATGGTAAGGTAGCCGGACCAACCTTAATGGACGCACCCTACTTAGGAGGCCTTAATTGGATAAATGTGATAGGGGCTGAGACTTGGTGGGTGATTCATAGGGAGTCGGGTAGGAAAGACAACGCTTTCACCTTGCCTAACCCGACCTTGACCAAATTTGGGAAGGGTCTTCCCTCTTATACCTTTGAATTAGGAGACCAAGGGGAGGCCCAAGCACACCACCAAGCACCTCCCTCACCACCACAACATTTCCACCAACCATCACCCCAACACTATACACATAACATTCCCACTTCCTCAACCAACTACAACATCGACCCTAACGCCCCATATGACTTTTCGGCTTTTAGAAGCCAATTGGATCGGATAAAGAGTGGGCAAGGGAGGATGGAGGGTATGGTTAGGAATTTGGACACTAGGGTAGGAGCCCTAGATGCTGGGGTTGGGGTTGTGGAGAGGAACTTGGGGTGGGGCTTATACCCATTTATGATGATTATGCCCGTCGGGGGGCTATTCCCCCCGAATCACATGTCCCCGATTGGTTCCAATACCCCCAAGGGGGATACACAGACCCAAGTGCCTACGGTACCTATGTGGACTATTCATCGGTGCATGGATATGGGACCGATGCTCCTTTTGGTGGGCTTGGGGGGAATGTAGAACATAACTATTTTGCAGGTGGTTCGGGTTATGGATGTGGTGGTTCGAGCCATGGAGGGGCCGGTTCTAGCCATGGTGGTGGTGGCTATTCGAGGATGGATGAGGATGAGGAGTAGGTTACACTCCCAAGTCAATGAGGGCATTGCTTGATTTGGCTTGGGGGGGTAATCTTTCGCTTGGTAACTCTCTTTCCTTTCTCTCTATTTACTTGCTTTGTAGTGTAGTTTTTATTGCTTTCTTATATATGAAAAATACAAAAAAATTGAAAAATAAAAAAAAATTCAAAAATACGTTCCAATGAATTGTAAATCATGCTTCCCTGTGCCCCATACTTGAGAAAATTTGTTTTGATTCTTGGTATTTGATGATGAATATTGTGGATTTGTTAGTCATGATTGGAAGTTTAATTGTTTGGATTCCTAAACATGCGTCAATTTTGTCCAACTACTTGTGAATATAGTGCTTGACTAGTTGATTTGGTTAGGAAATGTGTGATAGTTCCATAATTCCTGGTATGTCAATGAATTTGAGTATTGATTTGCAACTATGAGTAGTGTTTCATGACTTATTATTATGCCATGAGGAGGACGAAGGCGTTCATTCTTTTAGGTAGCCTTCAGAGTATTTAGATACATTTGTTCCCTTCTTGTCACCCATGTTGTTGCTTGTTCCCTTTTATTGTTTATTTAGCCACATTACAAGCCTACATGAGCCCCATTGGTTACTAGTCCCAAGCTTGGCTTGGGGGAGCTATTAGTTGGTGAGGTGAGGGAGTTGTGGTGTGCATATTATTTGCACAATGTGGGAATAAAAGAAGAGTTATTGTTCTTTGATTTTTGATTGGAAAATATTGATATTGTGTTTCAAAGTTGAATTTTCCAATATGAGTTAAAAAGAAAATAAAGAGAAAAAGAAAAAAAATTTATTAATGCTCAAATGTTCTATTTGAAGGTTGTTCAAGGAAAAAGAAAAAAAAAAGAATGAGTTCAAAGTTTGTTTATTCACTCTATTACTCCTTTATTATATCTTATGAGTGAAATTGTAAGTGTTGGGATTGTTTATATTGTTTGGAGTATATTTGATGGATTGTTGTTTGGAGTTGGTTATGTTGGAGATGTGTATGATCATTATTTTTGATCATGGGTTTTATTAGGATATGGCTCCTTTAAGCATAGCTTTTCTCTCACATAATCCCAAATTTATCCTACCTTTACCCTAGCCTGACATTACAAGCTTAAAAGACCTTCCGACCTTGTGCATAGAAGTTATGTAAATGTGAAAGTGTTGTTTTTCAATGTAAGTTATGACTTGGCATATTTCGAGTCGACTAGTAGGATGAGCGTTCAATGTTTTTATACACACGAGAGTGTGAGTTGGGAGGGAATTGTTCACATTAAAGGGGTTGGGATGGAGAGCGATCGAGTACATTCTTTACTCGCCACATAAATGAGAGTCGAGTGTGTGAGCACTAGTCTTGAATTCTATATGCTCTTGTGGTTTGCTCTACTTGACAATTGTTTGGGAGGAAGGGTGATTAGATGAATAAGATTGATTGATGTTGAAGCATGTTCATTTAATTTTACCTTGAATTGTTGGCTTTTGATTTGTTTATTGGGGTTAAGTATGTTTTTTATGTTCATTGATGAGCTCTTTGCTTAGGGACAAGCAAAGGTTTGGCTTGGGGGAGTTTGATATGTCTATTTTATATAGTGTTTTACCCCCGTCCCGTGGTCATTATTAGTAGTGGTTTTGGCTCTTTCGGGCCACTTTTATTACTAATTTGTGTGTTCTAGTGTTTTCGTAGTTTTAGTTATATTTTACAGGAAATTGCACACTTGGAGCATTTTCCCGGGCCTTATTGGATCGACTACGGAAGCTAGAAGGACACGACCACTTTCGGAGCCCAAGATTGGTGAGAGCCGGTGACTTAGGGCTCGGTTATTTGGATCACGAGGCAATTGGACCATGTATTCGAGACCCGAGAGGAAATATGGATTGGGCCGAGAAATCTAGCCCAATCGAAGTCCAAGCCTCGAAGGAGAAGACCGGGCCCGATCGGGCGGATGCACGCAAGGGCAAGATGCGTGCTGGTGCGCAGCAAGCCAAGGCGCGCCCGATCGTGCGAGGCTTAGCACGATCGGGCGGTGCTGTGAGAAGACCTGTGCGAGAAAAAAGGCGGGCCCGATCGGGCAGCCTCTAGCCCGATCGGGCGCGTGTTTCTGGAAGGGTCTTTTGACGAGCAATTAGTTTCTAATTAGGAGTAATTTTTAGTTTTGTTTAAGTACGTTTTTAGGACGCTTAATTTAGAATCTCTTCTTCTTCTTCTCTTAATCTTCTCTCTTAGACTTTCTCTCTCTACTTAGTTTTCTCTCTCTTAACCTCTCTCTAAACTTTTTTTCTTAATTCTTTCATTAATTCCAGATTATTTTGGTAACGATTTCTCTTCCTTTAATCTTTTTATTTTATTCCTTTCATCATGACTTATTTTATTGCTTTGGTTAGTTTAGTTTTTAATATGTGTGTGTAGTTTAATTTCTAGGGTTTATGGGGATCTAATAAATAATATGAAGGGGTAAATTATTATTGTTGATTATCAATGCTAGATTAATTTCCTATTGATTGATTTAATGCTCTGTGACTAGATTAGGCCTATCTTTTATGCATTAGTTTGACAATATTGATTCAAGAATCGAGAGATGAGAATTAATGTTTAGGTCTAGTTTCAATAGGAAAGTTAATTTATAAATGGTTAAGTCAAGATTCGAGAGATGAGATTTAATACCGATGAATTAATTGTGTGATTGTAATACGTAGCGAGAGCCCTTTACAATCTGGTTAATTGATGCATTGATGATTGACTATTATTGATTATTGGTATTGCATGATAATTTCTTATTGGATTGTTTTAATGTTTTACAATTGCGGCTTGTAAAAGTATAGCAATATTAAATTGATGAATCGAGCAGATGTTAATTTGATATTAAAGGCTATTTTCAATAAGGACTTAGATCTAGTAAATTGCGAGAGCCTGTTAGATTTATGTTGATTAATAAATTGCGAGAGCCTGTTAATCATGTTATTTATGCAATGTCAATGATTGATTACTATGTTTTACCCTGGAGTATTATTTATTGGTGAACTTATGCCCTAGATCCTTTCATATATTGTTTTCTTCCTATTCTCAACCTTAGTAGTTAGTTTCTTACTCATTCATAAATATTGGCTACTTAAATAATTTAGATTATAATAAT